CTGCACTGTACATGTCAGAGATTACAAGCACATTTACATGTTGCACATTTTTGCTATAATTTGCTATAATTAAAATACACATGGGCTGTTCCTTTCTTGAACTTAATTATTATTATTATGTATATATGTCTGACAAAAGCTATTTTGCCCACTATGCCCTATGGGAGGTAACTTTTGTCAGGTTTATATTGACGTTTTGCTCAGGATGTCTAAACGCTCAAACAAATGCAGGAATATTAAAAAAGTTAAGACCAGCATTATTCTATAGATTTCTTTTTTCAAGAAATCCTACATAAAAAGACAAAGCCAACAGTGAGTTTGTCTGTCTTTCTTTATTTATTTATTTTTAAAAATTAATTTAGCAAACGTTACCCACACAGGGGAAATAGTGCATTTGTTGGGGGCTATTTTCAACAGTAGATTAATCCAGTAAATAAATATTTGAGGCAACATTACTGTGTATGTACTCAAAACAAACACAAAATAAACTATCCATGGCAATGAAGGAACATAGTGGCTCACAGATATGTTTTGGAGCTCGTCAGAGGACACACACATTACTTGTTAGAATAAACAATGCACTGTTAGTTTAGGTCTTTTCTTGTAGTTTGCCTACATAATAATAATAATAACAACAACAACAATAACAATACTAATAATAATCATCATCATAATCATCTTGCCCACAAACCATTTAATTTATTTTAGGGAATGATTGTGTCCATTGTTTAAGGGTTTACTGTTGGTAGAAGATGGATTATAGTGGTGTCCTGTACCAAAGCCACACCCTATTGACACATATTTTCACTCTGCTTCCTCTTAAGGAGGTTGTACACAGTTATATTTCATGTCTCTTTTTGGTTTAAACTTTCTTTTAAAAAAAATCATTTCGAAATCCCTTTAGACAAATGTTCAAATACAGGGTGATCGTTGTAAAAAAGATGTTATTTCACATGTTTTTGATGAAAAATGGTGATTTAAAGAACATGGTTACTTATTTCCTTCACAAATTAGCCCTGAGGTTCACTTTACTTTTACGGTTTGAAGCCTGTTCCACATAGGATAGACTTTAACTTTTCAAGAGTGCACCCCCATTATTGTTCATTAGAGATAAGGAATTGTGTGTAGTTTATAAAGTGAAATGGAACATGTGGGGATCGAAAACTGTTGAATGTTTAACATCATGCAAATGACTTTAAGGATTGTGATAGGCTCTCCTACCTTTCAACACAGTAACAAAAAAGGATTCTGCACTGAAAAAGTGAAAACTTCAGTCTTCTTTTAGCTTTTCCTTCCACGCTCAGGATGCACGAGGTCACATTCCTGTTCATCAGTATAGTCGTAGATGTTTGTGATGTTGAGCTTCCTTTTACACCCACAGTCAGCATCTCTCATACCATACAATGCAGGTGTGAAAAACGAGGGAGTGTTGGTATCCTGTTAGTAGCTGTAATTTCCAGGTGTGAGTCTGTAATTGTTTGTAACTGTGTATTGTGTACTGTAAGCACATTTGTTTACCCACTGATCACTTAGCTTCCAGTAGATCCCACAGAACACTGTTCCATATGGCACCATGGTTAAGCACCAAACACTGACTCAGAGGAACGGATTGTCTAGTTGTGTGCTAATCTGGACAATATTTGTTAAGAGAGGATGACCTCCTGTCATGGCTTGTCTGTGCTCTGGATTTATCTGTCCAACTGCTCTTAAAGCAATATACAAGGTTTACATGAATGTCTAATACTTCAAGTGATTAGAACATACACACCCAGTTTATTCTTATCAACTGTAAATTATTACATCATCCAAATAATTATTCTAAAATTAACTCCTGGGATGATTACTCATATTTTTAATGCAGTAACAATAGAAAGAAGCTGTTTGAGTATGCTCGATCCATATATCAGGTATAGGACCTGGGGGGAGAGGCAGAGTACACCCTATTCATGCCGCCAGTCAGTTACCAGGCTTTAGAGACAGACAACCATTTGCACTCACATTTACAGCTATGCCCAATTTAGAATTGTCAATTACCCTGACCTGTCTTGGTTTTCTATCTGCCCTTTGCCACGTCCAATAACTACTCCCACCTGTCCTGCAGAAACCCCAGCCCTTCCTGCTTTTCATGATTACCTGATCCCCCACACCACAGTCCCTCATTAACTCCTTGGCATATACAGTATAGTGTCATCTCCACTTGCCCTCTGCCAGATTGTCTATTGTGTCTTTGCTTTCTGCCAAATATTAAATCGCACAAACATTTTGTAGTATTATAAGATATTGTCATAAGACATTTTATTACAATTCTGAGAAAAAAAAAATCACATTTGTGTGTGTGTGTTTTAAAATTCACTTTATTTCAAACATAATTCAAACTATGAGTCTTCCTTACAAGTTGGAGACATAGGTGTTAACTAAGAGGCCAGATTCAGGCTACACTCCCCCTCTGTTTCCTACAGATAAATGTATTCTATATGTAGTGTCATAGAAGAATGTATAGTGGGAATCCAAAATTTAAACTAGGAATTAAACTACAGTGTATATTACCATATTCCTAACAGGCAGGCTGTCAGCATCCTCAGGACTCCTCTTTGTTTGGCCAATCGGGCTGAGAATTCATGTCAGGCTGCTGTCTTTTTCTGTGTTGTGTAGCAGCTTTAATGAAAGCAGCAGTGAGGCACTGAGGAATGTGAAGCTGTGGAGCAGCTGTGACTCACTACTTTGCACATTTGCATGTCACTTGCTGAAAGCACTGACATGAAAAGGCCCTCACATCTCCCTCCTACAGTAAGAGTTTAATTAAAATTTTCTGTTGCTGCAATCCCGGCAGGTTGGAGTTAAGCCTGACACTGGGGTTGGGGGTGGGAGTGTGTGGAAGTGGCGCTGGGGTGAGTAAAGCGTTAGCCTGGCAGCCATTGAGGCTTTTTTCAACCAGATAGGTGTTGGATAATCCCCCTCCACCTCTGCTCTCAACAGTGGGGGTGGAAGTTAAGGCAACGGGGAGCAATAATCCATTGATCCAGGACCTAAACACTCATACTAATCCTGGACTGGACGCAGACTTGGGTCATAACCTATGTGTCAGTGGGTGACAATTATGAGTTTACGCTTCTTCATGTTATTCTAACAGATGTTATTAGGTCTAATATTACATAATATTATGTCAGTGACTGAGAAAAGTCAGCAACACTGCTTCTGTAACAAGCAATGCCTGTAAAGAGAGTCACATTATAATAATTCAAAACATACAGAATGTCTCGTTGATAATAACCATGATAACACAATAGACTTGATATTTTAAAACCTGCATGGGTTTTCTTCCAGGCGCTCCGACTTCCTCCCACAGTCCAAAGACATGCAGCTTAGGTTGACTGGTGACTCTAAATTAGACTTCATCCGGAAGGGCATCCGGCGTAAAAAACATGCCAGGTTTAGCATGCGCATTGTCAGTTGGGTGGCAACTGATGATTTGCTGTGGCGACCCTGAACAGGAGCAGCCACAGGTAGAAGAAGAAGAAACTAAATAAAAAATACAAAGAGTAAACAAGGTAATATATTTGAAATCCTGTCTCCTAAATATTATACTTATATACTACTGATCACACCAGCAAATAAGTTTTAAAGAAAGACCCAATTTCATTTGTTTTAACTACAATGCAGAATTTGCACATGGAAATGAAAATAGGATTTTTTATCTTCATGTTAAGGCATCTCAGAGTATTGTTTAGAAATACGGAAAGCTGTCTTGGTTAAACATTGAAAATGTCAATGGTGACACAAAAAAGGATGTGTTTACTTTCTCACTAAACAATCACACACAAGACAGTCACTGTTGTCAGCGTCTTGTGCTCTGTAAGCACATCACCCTTCCTTTCCCACCTTCTTTCAACTTTTGTGCATTACAGACTTGTTCCCTGGACTGAAATAAAGAACATTGTCAATTAACATAACCGATGCATAAATTATGTTTCCTCCTAAATGCACTGGGGGAAACATTCTGTGGTATATCAGCATAATTTTTAGGATACACTGATCTTATAAACCCACAGAAACATATCTTAAAGCTCTCAGACATTGATAATGTTTGCACCCTAATCAGTTAATCAGTATAATGAACATTAATTCATTATATGGTAAGAATGATGCCCTAAGATGTCCACATTTATTATATAAAGGTTATTGTCTTGCAGGAGTCTTTGCCATGTCCCTAATTAAACAAAGCCGTTGCAACCATCTTGACATGGCAATATTTGTCTGAAACCAAACCTGACACCCTGATATGGGTGATGTAGGTAGCTTGATGTCAACAGGTTATGATGAAAGGCAGAACATTGAATATAGCCTAAAGGTTCTTTTGTTGAAGCATGCAGACTTAAATTGACATTTACTGCCATTTATATGAAACTGCACACAGTATATACACTGAAATATATGAGAAGTAATACATCAGTCCAGTTATCTCTATAAAGTCGGCCCCAAAGTGTCATGAATGTTTGTAGGTTAGATATTTTTTTATGGCAAGTTAGAAGTTTATACATTTTTCCTTTTTCAGATATACCATTCCTTCAGATACAGTAAATATTAACTGTTGGTGAAAATTTTTAGAGCTGAATTATTAAAATGGTTGGCGAATCGATCACCAAAAAAAAGTGAAAAACAGTTTTGACACCAAGGTTTGACAGAAAGTTTGATGACATTGTCTTGGACTTTAAGAAATTGTGATAGGCATTTTTCAGTATCTGTAATTTAAGGTAACATTTTAGATTATGAAAGTATTCAGCAAGTTTAAGTGATAATAAAAATAATAATTGATCAAAATGTCCATGTGTAAGACATTGAATGACTGTGTTTGCTTGGAGTGATTAAAATGAATTGCTTTTGTGCACACTGTAAAATTCCTGAAAAACATGAAAATATAAAGAAGAACCAGTGGACAGTGAGTTCAGGTCTAGGCTGGTTTGTACGGTAGTCAGACACAAATCCAGTCAACGTATGAGTGGTGGAGAGAGTCTAATCCAGTACTCCATCCCATGTTTTCCTCCCCTCACTCTCTGCTGGGGTGATTACTTCACTTCACTCTAGCTTAGCTTGGTCCCCAGAGAAGCTCACATACACTTCCCAACACATGTTCACACACACTCATACCCAGAGTTCCAGTGGTCTGGCATGGAGGTGCTGGCGCTGACTCTCAGCAGCTAACTCAGAGCAGCTTGGATGGAGCACTGCAATGTGTTGGATGGAGAACCTGTGAACTTACTGCATCATCCTGCACTGACTGCAAATTTCAGCAGACTGCTTTACAATGGAGTTTGAAAGAGTTTGGTCCAGATATCAGAGGACAGTGCTGATCACCATGATGATGTTCAAACTGGGTAAGTCAGCAACTTCAGTTTAGCAGGTTACTACTGTCAAAACATAAAAGCTTACTTTAATAGAAACATTTATTCCATACATCAGATTTAAAATGAAAAACCAAAAATTCACAATATTTTCTATTGCTGTTTGCTGTGGATGAAGTGTATACATACAACACTGCATGTTTATTTCTGAGAGTTTGGTAACTTCATTTTTTAGATCCATACTTATAGAATCATTTACCAATATTTTTCATTAACTATTTATTGGCCACTATTGACCTCAGTTAGTTGACCATGTTCAGTTGGTACACTTCTACGCAGCTGATTTCCTTATAATGTCCTGATGTATGATGAATCTGCAGTTGGTATGGCACCAGTCCTGGGTGTGTGAACTGGGGGCTGCTGGTCAACCCCAGCACCTTATGAAACCCCTTTGACCCATTTTTCCTGTGACCTTTATTTGTGTGAAGCGTCTAAAACTCATTTAAAAAAGTGGCGGACAGGCAGCAGGGATTGGCTGTGGGTGGCATTGTTCAAGATCACCATGGTAACAAGCTGAGCGTCTGGCTGCACTGCTGCACTGCTTTTTTGTCTCAGCTTTGAATTGAGGGAGTGATGGGTGTTAAGGAGCATGGCAAGAGACCTAGCTTTCAGAGCTTAAAGGGTTTCAACAAAAAGACAGCAGCCAAACACACAAATAGGAAGCAGAGTACATGTTATGATGAAGATGAGATGGTAGGGGTTGTAAGGGGCCTAGTAAGAATACTGTATTCAACTATTCCATTTAAAGAAAAGTGCACAAATGAACAACTGCAGCATTTACCCATCAATTTTTTGAGAAAAAATGCAGCCCGGAGATGAAGGACCTTTAATGAAACCAAGCCTAAACAACAACAGTTTTAAGAATGAGCATAAACACCAGAGGCGCCATCCTCCCGCTCCTCAATGGGCCTATTAAGGACTGCCATCTCCAGATGATACGCACAAAAAAGACAAGTGCATTCAGGCTCTCAGTGTACAACTGTGATTATTTCAAGGGGAATTTGTTGTAATAGGAGTTGGAAGTCCTAAAAGCAGAAAAATACACGGTTCAAATGATCTATAGTAAATGTAGTCACTGCTTAAGTCGCTGTCTTTAAAAATCACTGGAAGGATCACTCTCCCCATGTTGAATGGACCGGCTGACTGATAAGTAACTGAAGAAATGATTTATTACTCTTAAAAACACTTATTTGGAGTTCACTGTAACTGTAACAACTAGTCCCACAAGTCTAATTTGTCAAATCAAAGCTCATAATAATTAAGATGAAAGTGGCTTTACCAATGCACATATTTTATCAAAGGACTGCCGGTAAACTAAATGCCGTCATTGTGTGTGGAATGACAGTCTCTGCAGAGGAGACAAAAGGATGTGCGTCTCCCACTCAGTGTGTAGCTAGGACTGATTCAGGGAAGAGTTATGCACTTTTTGTCTATAGTAAAGCTACCAACTGCTCTGGAGTCTTTGGAGCACAAAGATGAAGCCAGGTGGAGCTGCCACTCTCTGTGGTGAATCAGGAAAATTCCTCTGAGCTCAACTTGCACATTAGCTGGGGCCTTCCCCTTCTCTGTGATTCACAGCGCTGCTTCTTCCTCTGTTCTGCAGCATGACTCTCTGCTGACTTTGTGGTGCTGTTGTCGTGACTAGAGCTAAACAGTTCTCTCACTCTGCTCTTGCCTTTTGCACCTGCAAGAGTGAAACAAATGCAAATCTCTTTTAGAGACTTTAAAAAAGTATGAGTCATCTTAGTAATGTGGATGCTATCTGTTGTAAAAGTCCTATATATACTCTTACATCTTCTTTCATCTTGTACATGTATTTTAAAACTCACACATTTGTGCCTGGAGGTTATTTTAGACGTGTTTAGGTTCATGTATCCTTATGGTGATCCTTTAATGTGTCAGTTTGCAAATTACAGATAAAAATGTTCATATATTTGTTATTCTACAATTTCCTTTACTAATCTTATAGCAGGCCCAAAGCCAAAGTGTTATTTATTATTTGAATACCTTCTATCTTCCCTTTTTACTCTTCTTGTTTTGCTTTTAACCTAACTCATAGGTTTCTAAAAGAGATCATCATAAATGCAGTTAGGTTTTTTAAATAACATTTCCAGCTGGCATCTGGGCACTGTCACTAACTATTACTAAAACAGGAGGAAACTAAAGATTTGGTGTGAACTTTTTTCAGTGGTGGATTAATTCATATTTGGTGCTCTAGTAAGTATTTGGAGCAGCAGGATGAGGTACGTGGAACTGAGTCAAAATAAACCACAGTGTGTTTCTGGTGATGAAGAACTATTTCACCCAGTGCAACAGTGTTGCTCGTTGTGTTTTTATTTTGGACATCAATAGAGCTCTGGAAGATGTAGTATTGTTAAATAAACAAATGGAATTGTGAAAAAAGGTAAGCCTATGTTGTCAAACCTGACTCAGGTGTGCATTAGTGCACAAGACTGCCAAATGATAAATAAATAAATTGAATAGGAAGCAATATGCCTTTTTTAATTTTCTTTTAGAACTGATCTAATTTATCACAGGAGCAGCTACATAAGTAACCCATGCTCAGGTACAGTTTGTTAATGCTTAGTTAAAATTAAAATTTATGTTTGTCCTACTTAAAGAAAAATTAACCCCTAAATGTCCTTATTACTACTGAGACAAGGAAGAGTTATTTACAGTTTTGACAGATGTATATGAGAAAAATACATCATTATCATTATCATTTTCATTTTTACTGAATGGATTAGTTTGAACATATACAGCTGCTCCAGAAGTGATAATAAGATGTTAGGATGTTTCTATGTTAAGCTCTGGAGAAGGCATGTTATGAGTGAAATGTCAGCTAATGGGGTAAGATCTATGTATGGTGCATATCCTGGTAATGTTGTGCATGTTTCTGCTTCCTCCACATACTGGTTGCAGTTTTTCATACAGATATGGATGAAGTGATAGTATAGTGTTCGTACTGTATAAAAATAAATAAACAAATTTGGGGATTTTTTTTTATAAATCTGAGTAATGTTTTGGTTTGTTCATGTTTTCATTACGAAAGCTGCTTCATAGTTTTTATACTTGCTTTTAAGTGGCTTTAGGTTTTAATAATTTGCAGATACAATTTAAATGAATGTCTTACTTTAAAGACATCAACCCCCGCCTCACATCAGAGGGAGTAGTGACATATTTATATAAACTAAACCCCCCTGAGGAGACATGCTGTGGTCTCTGGAGAATGTCAGCAGTTTGACCCTGACATCCATCTACCTGCTAATGGTCAGTGGCTCTGCTGTGTTATTGTTGGTCTGAGATGTTGGTACCAGTCAGTGCTAGAGATCAGCCCTGGCCAGCTGCAACCATGATCTAAAATGAAGCACTCTGTAATGGGTGGCAGGGAGGTGGGCTGTGTAGGAGGAGCTCTTATCAGCTCCCTGGAATGTGTGAGGGGTTGATTGGATGGAGGCTTGGATGGAGGGGTGAAGAGTGACAACACCCTTGCTGTCCATGCAAAGTCACTCCTACGGGATTCATGAGATTACAGGTAATAGAGGTTAAAGTGCGTGATTCTGACAGAGTTCAAACTGGTCAGCCCTGGGGAGGATCTGGGTTGCCTTTGACAAGAACAATGAAAAAACCCTAAAAAGAAAACTTAAAAAGATCTCAGCACAAGTGAAAGCAAAAGGAGGGAGAAGAAAGAGACAAGAGGAAATGAGACCTCTGAAGAAGACATCATGAGCAAAATGAACAGAACATACCAGCTTTACAATCATACCCGGGTCAATTAGCACATTCTCTAGCATTTGTGGTTTACTTGTGAAACAGGCACACTGATGGATTTACTACATTTACATGCAACAACACAGCATGCCATGTTATTGTCAAATGCATGTTCATGCTTATATTTCAGTTAATTTCTGTACCTTCATGTTGAATTTTCCTGCCTGCTCCCTGTGGTGTCACATCTTTCTATAAAAAGCAACACTTTCATTTTTGGGTAACAGGAAAAAACTACAGAAGGTCCTAAACATTTAGTTATTTTTTTTGTTGTTGAATCTGTTGATAACACATTAAAATTAGTCTCATCTGGCTAATTGAGTCAATAGGGAGTCTTCAGATCAAGATATGATAGAGATAAAAATGATAATAAAGACTTTTTCAGCTTTTGACTTCTCTATTAATGAATAGAGAAGTAAAAAATATATACATTATATAAACCTCATTTGCATTTATATGAGCACAGCAAAAGGTGTGTCAAAAGCAAACAACTGGCTGATCTCTGCCCATGTTGCTGTCCCTCATCTTGTTTTTAGGAATAATTATGTCAATATGTCCAGTCAGTCACCAGAATTCACTTCTAGTTGGTTTAACTAGAAACCTATCCCTGCCTTGAAAATACTGTATGAGCCCAGGCTGAAGTAATGAATGAGGATAAAATAGTTAGTTTATTGTCACTGTATGAATTTTGAAAATGTAAAACTATCTCAGTTTACTCAAGAAACCAAGTTTAACAAAACTGATGACTTGTCTGTTTAGTTACACAAACATTACCGATATATTTACTTTTCTTTTACATTTTTCATTTGATATGAAAAGCTTATACTATAGCAGCAACTGTTGGTACAAAGACAGCGTAAGAGGCTGCTCCTAGTGACTTTAGGGGTTTTTCATTATAGGAACCTACCAAAGCGTATCACACCAAGTAATGCACGTCACAGGTTCTGCATTTGTTTCCACTATGGTGTGCCTGCTTTGGTCCATTCTGGGAGCTACATTTCAGCATCCCTAACAAGGTAGGGCTAAAATCAAGTGCCAGGAACTTCGAGGTCAGAGGGAGTGCATGTGCACAGAGCAGTTGGTGATTGGTTAAGTGTTCATGTCTTCACATCTCAAGCACAAACAAACAGCTGGCTGCACATGTGAGAGAGGAGCAGCCCCTCCCTCCTCTAAACAGATACCGACACAGAGAAAATACAGTGGAAAAAAAAAGCAGGACGGTCGGCGTCAACCACGGAGGCTATGCTTGGTGATGGTTAAAGGAAGTATGGGGTATAGAGCTTTCAAGAGTGGAAACACAGAATTTGTTAGAGATTAGTGTGTGGGAGTGGGGACAGAATGCCTTCATTTGGGGAGGCAACAGTGGTGCGGTGGTAGAGCAGTAGTCTCCCAACCAGAAGGTTGAAGGTTTGAATCTCAGTGCCTCCAGTCAAAGTGTGGGACAAGTGAAAAAGCTGTGCTTGTGCCTCCCTCATCCCTGTGGTGCCCCTGGACCTGCTCACTGACCAGCAGGTCAGACTGTACTTGTACCTGGCAGCTTCCAGGTGTGAATGCAATCAGGGCATTTCTGTAAATGAGAGGTTGTGAAACTGCCTGAAATAAATAAAGGTTCTTTATTCAGTTCATCTTTAATTATCCTAGTGACAGATTTCAACCTGTGTAGATTGGGAGCTAGACATTTTGAAGCCTTATTCTAACAGTGTAAACATCAGTATAGGTTACAGTAACACTATGCTGGGACTTGTTACCAACATTCAAATAAAAGCAGAGAAAGCACAAACAACACCGAACTTTGCAGGATTTATCAGGCATGGAAAGCATGGAGGTGGTGGGAGGAAGTGAGAGGCTGATGTGAGGAGGAAGGCTCAGTGTGAGAGCAGATAAAGGAAGTGATAGCAGATGCATGTGAGAGGAACTGGGGGTGTTAAAGTGGATATACTAGGAAAGGAGGAATGTAGGTGTTAGGAAACAAAGAGAGGCTCTTAATATCAAACTATTCATTAGTGCCAATTAAGACTCACAGTCTCTGGTTAGGCACTGTAAAAACCATCCATCTTGATACATTTTTGACTTTCTATCTGACAACATTGTAGGCACATTATCTATTGATAATTTATTGACTTTTCTATATGGCCTAAGGAAGACTAACAATGTTGCCTTTTCATTGTAGGGTGGTTACTTACCCCCACCATCTGTGAAACACACCAAAGTAGCTCTAAATATACACGTTGCTAGTACCTTGTGGATCTGTTAACCTAACATATGAGAGAGGGCTAAACTGAAAAGACTGCTGTTACCTCACATTCGTAGGCCTATTTATATTACCTTCCTGGCAAAATGTGATCAGACTGCTGTTAGACTTATTAAATGTATTATTAGTATTTTGTGGCATTCATGTGGACGGCAAAGTAAGAATTTCATTGTACAGGGAAACACGTTTCCTAACTGTGCATATGACAAATAAACACTTTGACTATGTGAGTGACATGTCAGTTAGATGCATAAAAATAATTACAAAAAATATCTGTACCTGCCATGTTTCAAGATAAAAAAAACATTAAAAACTTGCATTTGCACTTACACTTGTTCATTTCTTCATCATAGGGAAACATATTTGAAAAAAACTTAGAACTTCATTAGCCACATCCTATGAGGTAACATCAATAAACCAGCTGTATCTAAGAGACAGGAGAGGCAAATGATGTAATATTGGTGAGATTAGAGATTTTATTCTCTGGACAAACTACTCACTTTCATATGTTTAAGAGACTAATATAATATATATTTGAGTCTTTGTTTTTGTCACTTCTTAAAGAGAATAGCAATTTAGGCTTGTAAGAAAGACATGAGAATGAGACATGAGAATATGTTGCCTCTTGCATCTTTAACATCAGTTTCCCCTCTCATTCCAGGCCTTCTGTGTACAGTGGCAGCAGACAAGTGTCTCTCATCTCCCTGCAACAACGGTGCCACATGCCTTGAACAATTGGGTGACTATGTGTGTCTGTGTCCCAAAGAACCAGTGCGGTATATGGGGAAAAACTGTGATGAGCTGTATGATCCCTGTATCGTGGCACCTTGCGCCAACTGTACCAGCACACTTGGCACTGATGAGCTCATGTGCCACTGCCCAGATGGCTTCTCAGGGCTCAACTGCAGCCAGGATATAGATGAATGTCAGAGTAACCCCTGTGATGGTGTAAAGTCCCACTGTGTCAACAGAGTCAGTGGTTATTCCTGCCACTGTACCATTGGATTAGGAGGGGAAAACTGCCAGAAAAACGTGACCACTTGTTCAGAGGAAACATGCCAGAATGGTGGGACTTGTATAGACATTCCTGACATTGGGCACCAGTGTAACTGTGCTGCTGGGTACGAGGGGATGAACTGTGAGAAGAACACTGATGAATGCCAGTCTGAGCCCTGTCAGAATGGCGCCATCTGTAGAGACGGGGTCAATGCCTACCAGTGCTTCTGTGTGCCTGGATTTCAAGGCTACCACTGTGATTTGGACATCAATGAATGTGCCTCCCGACCCTGTAAAAACAATGGCACGTGTCTGGATGAAGTGGATCACTACAGGTGCAACTGCACTCCAGGCTTCAAAGGTAAGACACTCTGTTACAGGTAAAGGACCTGCATTATAATGCTATTTAAATGAAAAATACAAAAGTATGAGCATCAAAACATTCTTGAACCAAAAGTACATTTCACATTTTTTTATGTTATGTTATTGGATTATAATTATTGATGCACAGCAGTGTTCCTCACTTTAATTTTGCAGTTGATAAAGTTGGAGCAAATGCATATGCTTAAAATTTGAAGTACTTTACATACTGCTGAGTGGTTTGTGAATTGCACTGGGGATCAGTAACGTTTTATGATTATACTGTATTTTGGTTTATTTATCTGATTCTAAAAAAGTGACTAGTGAGTAAAGTTTGGAGTAAAAAGTGCAATGGTTGGCTCTGAAATGTAGTAAAATCAAGGTACAAAGTTGCAGAAAATGAAAATATTCAAGTAAAGTACAAATACGTCACAAATGTCCTTAAGTATAGAACTTGAGTTAGAGTGTTAGGGTGAGCCGGTTACTCTGGACGCAGAGTTGTCAGAGCATTTTATGCTGACAATGCTTTATATAGTATTTTGTGACAGCATTCAGTGACTTTGAATTAAATCATTCTGAGGTGCATGTTTACAAAAGCAGCTGGATTTTGAAATGAAAATCTAGATTTTGGGAGTATAGTACAGATTTGGTGATAAGCTAAATTTCATCCGCAATCCTTAGAATCATTCAATATCCATTTTTTTTTTGTCTGTTGATAAGGTTGGCCATGTACTCTGTAAGTACTGAAAGTACTATTTAAAGGCAACAGGATACAGTACATTCAAAATGCAAAATGAGACAACAAGAGAGGTAGAACAGTGAATCAGTAGGGATAATGGCTCAGTTTTGCACCAAGACTGTCTAGAGGAGAAGTTTTGAACTGGAAGGATTGTAACCGCTTCTCATTTCCTATGAAACGAGGTTGCAGTGTTACTCTGTTGTGCTGTTGTCCATGCAGCTGAGCTCTTGGCTGTTCAAGTGAGATTGTACCTGTATGTGTGCTAAGATAATTAGGTGTGTTGCCAATCTCATATCTTGGCTCACTGCCATCCCTGCTCTGTGCCTATCAGGGATTAACTGCGAGGTGGAGATCGATGAGTGCGAGGTACAGCCCTGCCAGAACGGCGCCACGTGTCGAGACCACATTGCCTCTTACACATGTGAGTGCGTGGCTGGCTTCCAGGGCCAAGACTGCGAGGTCAATATTGATGAATGTGCCAGCATGCCCTGTCTGAATGAGGGCTGGTGCATAGACAAGGTCAACAGGTAGGATTACACACCTACAGTGTGCTTACACTGTCTGCCCATACTCACATACAGTATAATTTAGTGTAATCTGAATGATTTGAATTTTTGAAAAACAGCACACCTTTATGGAAAAACAGTTACTGCTTAGATCCTGAGTTCATAGAAAACTGAATTTGTGAAAAATGAGTATTCAGTTTTGTGAAATGTTTTCTCTATGTTTTTTTTTGTAAATTAGAGCTTTCTATCAGTTGACATTTTATTTAGTTATGTTTTATGCAGCTATACTTGTATGGATGATAACAGCCTTGAAGGATGCCCTTTGTAAGGCATAGTGGTCAAAAAATGTTGTTCAGCAAAACAGTTTACAATGTTTTTTGTGCAGTGCTGTTTTCTGAAATATATGGATTTGTGATTATATTTAAAGCACTTCTTTATTCAACTCTTTTCATTGCCTGTCTGTGTTACTGATATTGTCTGTAGGTGCTTTAGGTGCCAATAACCCATTTTGTAATGTCTGAGTTCATCTGACATGAAAAGGCTGAAAACGTGTGCTTTGGCGGTATCTGATGAAATGCATAGTTATAATCATGGTTAGATCCTTAGGTTGAATGGCGCTCATACGGAACTCTCCTGACTTTATACAGTATGTACGGTACTACTACTTTATAATGTAGCATAATTGTTGCTAATTACTACATGTCTGTCTACAACTCTGTGTTCATATTCTCCTGTCATGTTGAGCGTGTTGAAGCCGATGTGTCAATCAGCACTGTGCCGTGTCAGCCTCAGACATCGAAGTTGACCCGGGATAAGAATAATCCCTTTATTAGTCATTGTGATGAGTCATTATTGCTAGAGGTGCTAAGAATATCTGAAACTGACTGGGACAGCAGGGAGTGAGGAAGACATTATACTTCATGAATATACAAAACAACAGATGAAAACTGGTCCAGAAAACAATACAAGAACATAAAGTTGTTACATACCATTCAGATCAGCTCTTCGTTAGCTGATCTCTGTGAGCACAATGTCCCTGTTCATATAAGTAAGTGATTAAGCTAGCCTCTTATTCTGTGTATTCACTGAAATAATGATGAGTTTTTGTGGTCTATATAAGTTGTATTGACGTTTTATGATTTCTTTTAAATCAGAGTCTTTGCAATAAGTGCCAAATTGTTCTAATTGTCTATTAATTCATAAGCAGTAAAATACACCCTTGTTTGATTCATTACATTCAGTGGTTTTGTCACCACTTGGTTTTGCTATGACCAGCAGCTTATGGTTGCTAATTTCAGCAAATGTTAGCAAAGTTTAGGTGGACTTTGCTCTGTAACATTATATTACAGCTGTTCTCGTCTTGTGCTACATGTTTTTAGCATGTCACTGAAAAACTAAACTAAAAGAAGAGATAAGGCACCAGGAGGCATTGTTGTTTCTTGCTTCTCTCAGTTTGTGCAATGATGATAATTTTTAAACAATTGACTTAAGAGTTTCTTGGGAAGAAAAATTCAGTGTGTCACTGCCCTGTAATTGTTACTTTTCATTACGTTGGCCACTGTTCAGCATCTGTTCTGTTCCTTTGTCTCCTAATAATTTCTATGCAAAGGAGGAATCAAGACAATCACAGTGTAAGATTGGCTTGTTTTTTGTTTTTTAGCTATGAATGTGACTGTGAGGGGACAGGCTTTTTTGGTGACCACTGTGAAGAGGATATTCCTGAATGTGCTTCTGACCCCTGCCAGCATGGAGCCACCTGCTTGGAGGGAATCAACAAGTACAAGTGCCTCTGCTGGCCAGGTACACTGTGGTTCAGTGTTAGCATTGCAGTAGTAACACATAAAAACACACACCTTATTTATCTACTTTATATTTCATTTGTATTTTGTGGCATTCATGTGGACGGCAAAGTAAGAATTTCATTGTACAGGGAAACACGTTTCCTGACTGTGCATATGACAAATAAACACTTTGACCTTGACCTTTGACCATCATAATTTGTTATACAGCTATTACACCAAACACAGTACTAGGAAATAATGGGAATAGTTCTTACATATTCACTAGACTTTAACAGGCACAGTGAATAAAGGGTACAGTTGGATCACTGAACTGACATCAGGAAATCTAAAGCATCCATGTTTAAATGTGATGTAAGAGAATAACACATAAAGAGTGTCTTCTGGAGGCGTCCCCACACATGTGTCAAGATCAACAAATGAGTTAAAAAATCTGACCCATTAGCCTGGAGGACAAGAAGGAGTTAAAGAGCAGGGCTGTGATGGCAGTGTGATGCTCTTTAAATCACTCAGGGTTGTGATGAAGTATGAAAAGTGATGCATAAACAGTTTGCAGGTGTCAGCGTCCTCCTTTGATTTCTGCCATAATAATATTTGCGAGCATGTGTGTGTTGTGCACATTGTCCCAGAAGTGCCATGTGCCTTAAAAACTTTAAGGATGGGCTCTGATTTTTTCAAGTACAATGCTATATGTCTTGATACAAAACTCACATGTGATACTGTATGTATGTAAGCTGAGAGATATTAGCCATATTCCTTCTTTAAATACTGGCTTTGAAAGTAATGTGTGATGTGGACACAAAGTCCTGAGTCCGTGTCAATGTTCACAACTAATTTGAATGTAAGAAAGCTAAAACCTGCGAGAAATATTGTTAGACAATGGAATAAAATGGTCCTTCTATAGTTATGGAAGCTTTGTATATTTTGGGTTGCCATTTGGCATGAAATGTGAGGTAAATTTGACTTGCCTTGCCTAGATTTGTTGCTATGTGTTTTGAAAAGCATCTGCTAAAGGGTTCTTAAAAGTTATTTAATCTGGCAAGAAAACTTTGTTTAAATGCTTTCTAAGTTCAGCTGCTAAAACAAGGCCTCAGCAGACATACTGTTTGCTGTGAATGTGCCCTTTTTTAACTTAAACTACAGTTTCAACTGTGGTAGTCCAGTGTTGACAGAGCTGGTTAAATCAGATTGTGCAGCTTGCTTTAGTCAGACATATCTGACAACTGAAGTGATTTTACATCCCGTACATATTTGATACAAGAGGACAGACATTAGCGCTACCAAAAATAGCTAAGAATATGCTCTGACTGTGTTTATATGTGAAATTTGTTGGTGTGAGTATCAGTGTGGGTGGAAGTTAGAATAGGACCACAACTTCTCTGAAAAAATGATTACAGTGACAGTAACTCTTTTAATATACAGTACCTACTGACCTGTGAATATTGTATTAAGACGGAACGGAAACTTAAACCTACTCTTTAAAGGTACTCTACCTAATGACCTTTCTGCCACTACAGGGTCGGGCAATAGTCAAACTGACACCATTAGCCACTCTGTAGCAATCTTTGCACCTTCTGTTTTGTTTCTTAAAACTATGACATGAACTATGGATGCCTGGTTGCAACAAAAAGCAGTCAAGTGATGAGGCTGACCGTTTAACAACATGCTTTGCATCATATTTGTGCCATGGAGGAGGGTAGGATAGTGGAGAGACACTATGTCGTCTTTCATTTTCACTTGATTTGTCAGACAATCAGTAAAATGTGTGTGTGTGTGTATATGTGTCCAGGTTATGAGGGAGAAAACTGCCAGGTGGATATAAATGAGTGTGAGCAACAACCCTGTGAGAACGGTGGTGAATGTTTCCAACGTTCAGATATCCTGAACTACAGGAAGCTGCCTGAGCTCAGCACAGCTGATTTCACCTATAAAGAGGCAGCAGGCTTCATCTGCCACTGTGTGCTAGGCTTCACAGGTAAGGCAGTTCACATAACCTTTTTGTTTCTTAGTATATTGCCTCGTTAACTCTTCACGAAGTGATGAGGACATAGCTGATCAGTTTGTTCGTCTGGTAGGAGACATCTGCTCAGTCAATGTGGATGAGTGTGAGTCTGCACCCTGTCAGCATGGAGGAAGCTGCCAGGATCTGGTCAACTCTTATCGGTGTGTGTGTCCAGCCGGCTTCATAGGTAGGAGACAACTCTTATCTGCTCCCTGTGTCTAATCTCCTAACAAAACATCTTTTCCCCTGCTCTTCCTCCATTAGCACCTCACACGATTGTGTCTTGTCTTTGTTACTACTCATCCCCTGTGCCACTGATTGTAAATGTTAATACATGGACAGCAACTTTCTGAAGTTAACACAACAGTTGTTGCATGGGCTTGTGGTCAGTGAGCCCGTATAGAGGTGTAACGTAGCCCCAGTTTGCCCCTCTCATGTGTTAGCATACAGTCAGGTCAGTTTCTCTAAAATGTAATTACCCAACAGTGTTTGAACATTTATTCTGGCAGTATTTTCAGAAGTCCCAAAGACTTTTCTAACCATTTTGAAACCCATTTCCCAAGTTGCACTTCAGTTTCTGAATCAAAACAAAGATAGCAGTACACAAGCTACTTAGATAGCTTGCATGACAACAAATCCTCCAACCTATACAACAATATACATTATTTGTCTTTATCTTGGAATAGGACTCATAGAATCCTTCCATCTTTGTTGTCATGGTAGCAATCATATGTATGTGCCAAGCATTTCACCATACCAAAGTGTACCGGGCCGCCATTTCACCATACCAAAGTGTACCGGGCCTTTGTTTGCACAAAGGTGGGCCTTTCTCAGCCTTCTCCTGTAGTGCTGCTGGGCACTTACAGCTCTGTAGGTCAGTAGGTGGCATGTGGGTGCAACACCAGATTGTTACAAAGGTACAAACACTTTCAATGATCTCAGAGCAGCATCTTTATACATACACCTTGTTCTCCGGCCAGTGATGCAGAAGTCTTAAAATTCAGTTAAAAGTCTTGTCATATGATTGTTAATTCCACTAGAAATAAATTAAAACAATTAGGCACTTGCTCATTTGACAGAAAACAAACCAGCAAAAAACTGCCAGGAGAATTTGTTGCTCTTCTGTATGCTTTACAAAATTACAAAAGGCTTTAAAAAATGTGGTGTTTTTCCAGTGTTGGGCATTTTATAGACTAAATAAGAAAGTAACTGGTATACCAATGAAAATAAAGTTCATGCTCAATAAACATGTTGATGGTGTTTTTCCATCATTATCTTTATCTTGCTAAATTTGTCACTGATCAAATCAATTTCACACACACAGAAATATTCTGTAGAATATATAATAATAATTACAGCATGTGGCCTTATCTGTTACATTTTCATTGTGTTTGTGCCGGTGTTTTCCTGTACGTACCTATCTCCAAAAACATGCTGAACTGAACAGAATGTCCTCAGTAGGAGCACGTGTAGACAGAAACCTTCACACCAGGTCTCAGAATCAATCTGACTAAACAAAAAAGGTTAATCTTCCTCCTGCTGATCATTCCTCATGTCCAGCCATGGTATTAATTCCTCATTAGAGGAGATTTGTCAGTGCATCACTCTAAATGAGGAGAACTGCACCAAATGCTGACCTTGAAATGCAAACTCTGGACGTAGAAGTGAGGAACTGCGCCAAATTTTTTTGTCAACAAAACAAGAAGCTGATAGCCACATAATGTGGAGACACCAACGAGTAGCGGATAGGAGGGGATGAGATGGTATATGAAGTATATAAGCAGTGCAGAAAAAAACAAAACCAAGAAAAGGTGCCATATGTCCAGTATTAAACTGGGTCTCCTAAGAAATTTGTAAAGCAAGGTGGGATTATAGAAAAGCTACTTAGCTACTTAGTGCCTAATTAAAGCCCATTAAAAGGAATAAAAAAGACAACTGTGAACAGTTAACTTGGTATAGCATGTGTGCAACAGATTGCCCTCCCACATGCATGCAAGTCTGGTTAGAGTTAGGATTGTCATAGCTTCTTGTTTACTAATGACATCACCAGCAACAGCTGTATGCTTTTGAAGCTCTGGCAGCTGATTTAATTTTAAGTACAGTCCATGTTACAAAATATCTGCATTATTCATATATGTATATACATATTTTCTGGTCCATAACTCTTTTTATGCCAATGTGTCATCCCTATAAATGCTGTTTTTTTGCATTTGCTGGTCTTCTGGGAATTACAGTATATTTGGAAATCTTATTTCAAAGACTTAGGTGACATCCCTTTGAAACAACATTTATATCACTTGGCTGTCTTTTTTTTTAATAGTAAAAGTCAAACACAAACATCTATGGACAACTGAGGGCTCATTTTGAAGAACAAAAGTTCACTGATTAATCTAGTGCATGCAGGTTGAAAACAAAGTCAAAATGACAGGAATATATGGGCTGTTTTGTTGAGGTTTTGCATGCATGACCTCTAAAGGGTCTGGAATTAGAAATGCTTAATTAAAAAAAAGAGCATAAAAATTGCAGCCAGAAATGTAATTTATTCTAACAGTAGGGCTTTGAATCCATTAAAAAATTTGCCAATTAATTAATTACTCATTTCACTGTGATTAATTGTGATTAATCATGCAAACTTGTGAACCTCTATTCATTCCACTCTGAATACCAAATTAACCTAGAATAAATGTAGAGGAAGTTTAGTACTTAGACTTCAATTTGTGACCTATGGTTATTCTTTCCCAAGAAAAATATCCCTTGAGCAAGTACAAATTGAGTTTTAGTGACTTCACAAAGGGCTAGCTAGATAAACAGAAGCCAAAAGGAAAAAGAGAGGCCACTCTATTATAAAAAATAAACCTTTATTGTGTTAACAGGGTGACAGTTTTCAGCTACTGTATTTAGTTAGCTAAAGCCTCAGTTTTTTTATCATATGTTTGTTTAGATAATAGTCCACCTCGAGCACCATCATATAATAAAGTAGGCTGGTGGAGCGTTGCTGAAGTCTCAGTAGTGGCACCTGGATGCTTCGCTCTAACGTGATATATCAAAAATGAATTACTTTGGTGATAATTAAGTTTGGCTTTAGAAACTGTGCACACTACTTTAGTTTTTTCCAAAGAGCCATAACTAGTATGAGCATGCATTAGCCACAGGGAGGAAGCATTAGCATATAGGTGCTGCTGCATAGTACCATACGTTTTTTTAATGCGTTAAACTGCTCACATTAATCACAAAAATTCCTGCATTAATTTTCCTAACCCTATCTAAGACAGGTTTTTAAAATAAAAAGATTAAAAATTTAATCAGAATGCAATATTTGACTTTAGTAATTCAGAATTCTGTGAAAAAGTTAGCACTGACAGGTTATAATCATAGCTCTTAGAACATTAGAAATCTGACTTTAATCTGAGACATTACAACTTTCCAGTTTACAATTGGCTCTTCACAATAAAATTCAAGCATTATTATCTTTGACTTTTTGATCAAGGTCAGCTAAGGTTGTCAGAAGTCAAAACTCTCTAATTTCAGACCTCTAATTTCAATCTCTAATCCTTTCTTAGTCACTACAGGTAATACCAAAGCATATTGAACTATTCTAGTGCTGAACCTAATTAAATGGTCTTAGAATCAGATTGGGTTCATGTCTTTTTATAAGCAATACATCCAGTATGATACAGTCAAACACAGAGCTGGATGAGCTCATATGCAAACATTAATAAAAGATCAACATGAGCTCCCTGCATTGGTCCAGCTGTGCCTGGCCCACATGGAGCCTTGAACCTCAACACCTCCCGTGGGTTCTTTCTAGCAGCTCCTGCCCCTAGTGGGCATCCACAGGCCAGGGAACTGCAGCACTGCATTCCTCTTGTCAAACCCTTGAAAGGAGCCAGCTGGAGGCTAGAAGCTTAACCCCTCTGCTTGGGCTGGGCTGCGGACAGGAGAGAAGCAAGGGCTGTGAGGGAGGGATTCTGGGAGGAATGGAGGAGGGAGAAAGAGAGGGAGGAAAAGAAAAGGTGGGCAGAGCTGCCTTGTAATCAGTTCTGCCTGTTTGCCTGGTACAGAGTGGAGGAGTGGCAGCACTTTGTACGCTAGAGAGAGAGAAAGAGAGGGGGGACCTGGTTGTGTCCTATCTGTCATCCAGGAGTGTGAGGTGTGTGTTGGCTGTTGGGTCAGTGGATCATGGAGGGAACTAGGTTGGTGCTGCTGCTGTGCTGCTGCTTTGGGCCCCGGTGGCTGCCAGGTACAGTATGGTACAGCATTTTTAATGCTATACTAACACATATATGAGAGTGGAGTGGAGGCTTGGCACAGAGAGGGTGTAGAGTATTTTAAAGGACTATGCTAATGCAGGTTGACTACTACTGCAAGGGCTTAATTTTGAATGCGGTTTTAAAAAACAGCTCTGACTAATGAAACTAGGCAGATAGACCTGCATATAATGCAGTATTTCAGTTTCTAGCTAATACAATCAATATGACAGACACTGATTTAATTGTATTAAGGAAAACTGCAAATCTAACTCATCTTTAAAGTTCTAATTAAAGGCTGTTTTGTCCAGTCATTTCTTTGTCTGCAGATGGTAATAGATTGATGTGATCAGATTATTAAATTAATTAAGACTCCTGCTGTATTGTGATGTGTCTGTGTTTTGACTGAAACAGTGTTGTTGAAATAAGTTGTAGTTCTAAACATGAGTGTCTATCCCTGCAGGCACACACTGTGAGGTGGACGTCAACGAGTGTGACAGCTATCCCTGCCAAAATGGCGCCATGTGTGAAGATGCTGCCAACTCCTATAGGTGTCACTGTCCTATGCCAGAGCCTGGCCAGGAACCCTGGGGGGGGCGGGATTGTGACGTACGCCTGTTTGGCTGCCAACATCACCAATGTCAGCATGAAGCAGGTTGTGTCCCCTTGCTGACTGATGATGGAGAGCACAACTACACCTGCCTGTGTCCACCCGGTTGGACGGGAGAGCACTGCACCACTTCTACCACCTTCTCCTTTAACTCAGAGGGCTATGTCCATATACAGCTACCTGTTCCCAAACACAGAACTATGCGAGAGACTGATGACCATAATCACGAGCTCTATGTGCAGTTTCGATTTAAGAGTACTCTGCCCGACATGTTGCTGTACTACCAGGGCACCATGGAGGATTTCTTCTCCCTAGAGCTTGTTCATGGTTCCCTCCAGGCCAGGGTGAAGTCAGGTAAAGTACTGCAGGTTGTTTATCCTGGCCCCATCAATGATGGAGAATGGCACCAGGTCACTATGACCATGAATGAGAGCCTGGTTATCATTGTAAAAGGGCTTGGCTGTGAGGACGGCTGCCTAGTGAAGAATGAGAGCAACAACCATCTCCTCTTCCTCCAGCACACCTCCTTTCAACAGTTGTATATAGGAGGGGCACCACATGAATATTTAGGTCACACATACAGCAGGAGGGGGTTTATTGGCTGTATGGAAGATCTTTATGTTGACCATAAGCTGCTACTGCCTCAGGATCTCATCAGAGAGGAGAACCAGGGCTTGGAACTGGGATGTACCAAAAAAGACTGGTGTCAGGAGGACCCATGTATGCAACATGGGCAATGTGTGGACATGTGGGTTCGTGCCAGTTGTCAGTGTTACCAACCATACTATGGAGAAAACTGTGAGAAAGGTGAGAGTGCTTATTGTATACCTTTTTTTTTTTCAGCAACACAAAAAGTACAATTGGATCATTAGATAGGTTACTAAGTGACTAGCGATCAGGGCTTTGCAACGTGTGGCATGTCCAAGACAACATGTGGAAGTAACTATTGGAATGCTTCAATAGATGATACTGTATCCTTACCCTACAGCTAATACTAATCACTCCCAAAGTGATGGGCCTGTTTTTTGTAGAGTATATGACAAATCAAAACGTTTGAATGAAATTTAAGCCCTCTCCTAATGAACAATCAGAGAATAGTGTCTAGACAAAGCTGGATGTTTCAGCATCTGAAATTCTTACTTCCTGTACTTTGTAATAAATCTAGCTCTTGCTTGTGTTCGGGGCTGCCATTATGGAAAATTACCAAGTTGCGTGAAAATATGAAAACAGAGGAAACCTATGGTGGCACAGGGAGAACATGCAAACTCCCCACAGTAAGGCTCGGACAGTAGTTTTAAATTCAGAAACTTGTTGCTAACCACTGCAGCATACCTGAAGCTGTTGTAGTGATATGTCAACACATATCCACAGAACAACCTTATCATTCATTTGAACCTGTGCTTCTGTCCAGTTACTCTCATTTTAGCTCCTTTTAGCTTGCCCCCCAACTTCTGAGAAAATGATCTGCTTCTTTAACTTTTAAACACTTCCCATAGTCTATCCATCCATCCATCCATTTTCCTCCGCTTATCCGGGACCGGGTCGCGAGGGCAGCAGTCTAAGCAAAGATGCCCAGACTTCCCTCTCTTCAGACACTTCCTCCAGCTCCTCTGAGGAAATGCTGAGGCGTTCCCAGGCCAGCCGAGAGACATAGTCCCTCCAGCGTGTCCTGGGTCTTCCCTGGGGCCTCCTCCCGGTGGGACATGCCCGGAACACCTCCCTAGGAAGGCGCCCAGGAGGCATCCGAAACAAATGCCCGAGCCACCTCAGCTGGCTCCTCTCGATGTGGAGCAGCAGCAGTTCTACTCTGAGCTCCTCCCGGGTGACTGAGCTCCTCACCCTATCTCTAAGGGTGCGCCCAGCCGCCCTGCGGAGAAAGCTCATTTCGGCCACCTGTATCCGGGATCTTGACCTTTCGGTCATGACCCAAAGTTCATGACCATAGGTGAGAGTCGGAACGTAGACTGACCAGTAAATTGAGAGCTTCGCCTTACACCTCAGCTCCTTCTTCACCACGACGGACCGGTACATCGACCGCATTACGGCAGAAGCTGCACCGATCCGCCTGTCAATCTCCCGTTCCATC